CCAACGGCTCTCAACGGCTCCCGGCGGCTCCCAACGGCTCCCCTCCCCACTCCCAACGGCTCCTTACACCTCCCAACGGCTCCGCATTGGCAAAACTTCTGCTTTCCCCCCCCCTCACTCCTCCCCCTTTTGAGCACTTCTAGTGACATGTAAACTTTCACCGTGAGAGTTTCGGCCTTGGAAAACTCTCAGGGGAAAAAAAAAAAAAAAAAAAAAAAGTATTTTTTTTTTGCTCTTGCAGTAGCCAGGTGGCTCCAGAAGAGCTGGATTTCCTCTCTCCCGCCACACTCCATTGGGTTTTCTCGTCGAGCATGTGCCTTGCCCTTGAGCAGCGGGATCGCATGCAGTGCACAGCTCCGGGATCGCGTTCGCGTCGCGCCTCTAAATATAGCGGTGGCCCCGTTAGTCAGTAGCTCTAGCTAGCGTCAGGCAGATGCAACCAGCGGCAATCAGTGCCCTATCGCGTTTCGGCTGCGGGTTTCTGGTTTCCCTCAGAAGAAACATTAATACCTGTGTGGTTAGAGCTTAAGAAATTGCCCGGTACCTCTGCTCTGCAAGCACCAAAGTTATTGAGTAGCTTAGGATCAAGCAGGCTTTGCTTATCCTAAACATCTACTATAACCGCGGTGTTGGGTTTATCTAGGGAATGGCCCCAGGCTGCTTTTCCTCCCCTTTCCATCTGCCTGCACACACTATGGAAAAGTGAGTTAGTATGATACGAATCTCTGCAGGGTTTGGTTTTCCCAAGGAACAGGGGACAAGAAGATATGGTAGCAGCATTCACGCTGAATTGTGGCCTTCATTGTTCTGCAAAACAAAATATATTCATAAAGAAACCTAGAGCAGAATGACCCTCCCTCAACAACAAAAGGGAAATTGATAGTTAAGTTTTAAAAAGTTTAATAAATTTTTAAAAGTTAATAATTTAAATTTTAAAAAGTTAATAAATCTCATGGTTAAAGAAAATGTTTGAATTCTATTCAGCGTATGAACTAAAATATTCCTTACTCTGCAGATTGTGCCTCCTAGCAATGTGGACAAAAGGAGACAGAACAGAAAGGACCAGGGGGAGGTAACTGAAATAGGAGGGAAAAGAGGAAGAAAGAGCAACAGAAATACTAAAGCTAAGGGGAAAGGGCAAACCCTATCTCACATATTTGCAGCTCAGCCCTAAAACAAGGCAGTTTAAAACGGGGCAATCGGTGCCCGCTCCTTTGGGGCCAGGGTGACCCCGTAACCACCATGACGGGAGCCGGTCGCCCCGCTCTCCCTCACGGGGCTCCCGCCATGGCGCCGCCTCCTCCCGCCCCTCCCCCCCCCCAGCGCGCGCAGGGCGGGGCGAGCGCAGGCCCCGCCCCCTGCACGTGACCGCGCGGCCGTGACGCAGCGCGCGCAGGCGGTGTCGGGTGACCTTCAGCGGCGGCCGTTGGTGGCGGTTGCGGCCGTTGGCGACGCGAGAGCCGGGATCTCCTCACACTCGCCGCGATGCCGAGGGGCAGCAGGAGCCGCACGTCCCGCGTGGCGCCCCCCGCCAGGTGAGGGTGGCAGACGGGGCTTTTCCCCTCCGCGCTTCCCTGCGGAGCCCGGTAGGCCGCGGGCGGAAGAGGCTTCTCCGCCATGCCGGGCATGACGCAACGGGAGGGCGGATGGTTAACGGGCATCGGAACGGGGCCTTGCGGGTTGGCGGTGGGGCCCGGGCGTCCAACCTCTGCACGTTGTATCTAGCTGATCCCGCCCTAACTAAGCTTAAGGCATCAGAATAAGGCAGGAGGGGGCATCGGTCCTTAAAACAAAGGCCCCCAAAATAGGCCCCAATGTCCAAAGTGCTGTGCACAAATCACTCACCACAGAAATCAACTCTTCACATGGCTGCACAGGACACCCCAAAGCAGGAATCATGTCTTGCCTGTGACCCGCAGGGTTGAGCACAGAGGTGATAATTTGGGTTTCTCCTTATGTCCTTGCAGTCGGGCACCACAAATGAGAGCTGCGCCCCCAGCGCCTGCTGCTCGGGCCCCTGTCCCAGCTGCGGCACCACCTTCTGCCGTGGCCTCTCCCGCACCAAAGCAGCCCGGTCTGATGGCACAGATGGCTACGACTGCTGCGGGAGTTGCTGTAGGCTCTGCTGTGGGCCATACCATCGGTCACGCGCTTACAGGAGGATTTGGAGGAGGAAGTGGCTCTGAGGCTGCGAGGCCTGATATCACTTACCAGGTAAGAGAGTACAGCTGGGTCCTAACAAGGCACAGCTAATTTGAGAGCTGAATTATATAGAGGGTGAAATAATAAAGATGTAATGAGCACACAAGTTGCAGCTGAGAAAAAGAGGTAAATTTAGAAACTTCATCAGTAAGTTAATTATCCCAATCACCATGAAGCCCTCAGAAATACTTCAAATAGACACAAGTAGCATGTAACTGTGCTAATGGAGGTACAAGGATTTCTGTCCACTAGGTGCGATGATGGCACAAGAGCGGTGTCTGAGATCATGTTTTGTGCTGCTCAAACACTAATATAATACTACTGTGTCTTGTCCAGATACTGTGTAAAGTTTCTTAAATTTTTGTAACTTAAGGAACATGAATCACTGTCTCATATCACTGCTTGTAACTATTTGTACCTAAAGCTGTTTCTTTTTGAATCAGAACACAATACAACACTTTGCTTGCTGTATTTCCTCCGTGCGTTTTAGCCAGTGCAGTGGTGGTGCAGTGTCATGGCCTGAAGCTTTTGCAAGGGTGCTTATGGAAACATTGCTGTTTCAGGAACCGCAAGCGGCCCAGCCTGCCTACCAGCAGCAGCAGCAGTTTGCCCCTTGTCAGTATGAAATGAAGCAGTTCCTGGAGTGTGCGCAGAACCAGACTGATCTCAAGCTGTGTGAGGGCTTCAGCGAGGTGCTGAAGCAGTGCAGGTTTGCTAATGGTAAGTGGGCGGCAGCACCAGGCAATTGCTAAATGAGCAGAATGGTAAAATCAAGTATCTTAGGCACATGTCCAGTATTTAAATCTCCTCTGTCAAGACTGGATGGATATAGACCAGGTACTCACTGAAACTCTTGCTTCTGGTGGTCCAGTACACATAGCTGGAGGTTGTGGGGCGGGGAGAGAGTGAATTCCTGGAGCTTTTAGTGCTTGCACTTCTAGACTAGACCGATGCTGATCAGGAGAGCGGAATCAGAGCAAAACCTGTGTCCGGGGTCTGCTGGCCGGGGTCTGCTGCTTGTGCCTCTTAGGCACAGCTGCCCCAAGGGGAGAATGTGAGATTTCCAACACGGAATGTGCAGCAGGCATTGCTAAAATCTTCAGTTAAATGTGTCCCAGCAAATAGATGGGGAGAGGAAGGAACATCTACAGCTGCTTTGGAGGCAAGAAGGCTGCCTTGTGCTTTATGGATTCAGTGTTAAGTATCACTGATTGTGATAACCTTTTGTTTTACAGGATTAGCTTAAACCTTCAGAACACAGAAGCTGAGAGCCATTGTGCAAGAACTGACCTAAGAATGAGAAAGCTTCAGTAATAGTCTAAAGCTGCCCGATACTTTGTTAGTTCATATTATTCACGGTGTCATCACCTCATGGCTTAATTTCTGCCATAGCCTCCACGGATGTGAGACAATTAACAACAGCAGGTTAAATCAGCACAAAATGGAAAAAAATAATAAAGCAGAATGAGCTGATTGGGGTTAACTGGTTTACTGATCATTGTGTTGAATGTAAGTGTGATACGATGTCTGAATAAACTTTCTCTCGGAGTGCCTTGTCTCAGGGGCTTTGGGCTGAGGGGCTGGAATCAGATCCTAAGGGTGAGCTGGAAAAGGGGATCCTAGACATTTTCTGTGTACAGGGGGCTGTGCTGGCAGGAAAGGAGCCTGAAGGGCTGGGGCTGCTTAGACTTAGCCAAGGCGGCTCCTACGCAGTGTTGCTGAAGGCCATGGGTGGCTTCTGTCTGCACTGTTTTGGTTCCCCAGGCTGCTCCAGGGAGAGCCCTGGCCCCAGTGACTTCAACAACTCCGCACATCTTTCCCTGTTTGGACAAAAGCTCCGTTTGGCTCGCTAGAGGCTCAGAGCACTGCCTTCCCTCTAGGCAGGGCCGGCTGCTGCGGTCACCCGCTGCGCTACAGAGGGGACCAGCGCCTTCCCCAGCAGAGGGGCTGCAGCTTGGCGGGAGCAGGGAGGAGGCTCCAGGCAAGCGGAGTCGCTCCCGGCGCCGCCCGCGCACCGGAGCCACGGCCGCGCTGCGGCCCCGGGCTCCTCCGCCGTGTCCCCAAGTGCCAACTTCCGAGTGCCGGCGGAGGAGCCGCAGGGCTGCATCCTGTTGGGGAGCCCCAGCAGCAAAACGTGCTGTGGCCCGTGACAGGGAGCAGGAAAAGGGGGACTTGCACCGAGGCAAAGAAGCTGGCGCTGAAAAGTGTGTGCAGAAACGGAGGGAGGAACAGCAGCTTCCTTCTGCATTGCTTCCCCCTTGGCCTTTGCTTTTGTCTCTTCCCCTTGCTAATAAAGCATTTAAAAATACCCCCGCTGCTCCCTGTCTCTTCTGACACATACTGGCCTGTTTGCCATTCTGCCTGCGCTGGGTGGACAGGGAGCTCGGCTTCCTGCGGCTGCAAAGGCAAAAATCACGGGGAGAATAAGGTGGAGGGGGAGGCACCTCAAAGGAGGCAGCTGGCAGAGAAGTTGCGTTGTGGATTGCGACAACCATTGTCTCCTGAAAAGAAAAACAAAATAAAAATGAGAGGAAAAAAATAAAAAAGGAAAATGGGGGGAGGGGAAGGAAAAAAAAGAAAGGATAAAGAAGAAAAAGGGGAAAGATAAATAAAAATGAGAGGAAATAAATAAAAATAAAAGGAAAAGGGGTGAGGGGAAGGAAGAAAGAAGGGATAAAGAAGAAAAAGGGGAACGCTAATACAAACCGGTAGCTGCGGCACGACGCGCAGGCAGCGCCGCCCCCGCGGGCCGCGGCCCGTCCCGGCCGCTCGGCGGCGCAGGCCGGGGCCGTTGCCAGCCCCGCGCCGCTCCGGGCTATTTCGGGCCGCGCCGCCCCCCGCTCGCGGCAGCAGCGCCAGGTGGGTGAGCGGCGGGGCCTCGGGCCGCCGGGAAACGGCGGGAGCGGGAGCGGAGCCGGGAGCCGCGCCGGGAGCCGAGCGGGCTGGGGGGGGCGCGGGGGTCTTGAATAAACACTCGGTTTTCGGCCGCCGTGGAGCGGGGGGGGCTGCGGGAGGCGGCACCTCCGAGTGGAGGGGCACGGGACCCCCTGGCCCCCCCGGGGATCCCCCGTGCCCTGCCGGGGCGTTACCGTGTCCGCAGCCCCCCGGCCCGGTCCACAGGGAGGAGGCTCCGTGGCCGGGGCTTCCAGGGCGGTTTTCCAAGAAAAATCTTATTTATTCATGTATATGTGTACATATACATGTCGGTGTATATATTTATATATACACACATACACATATACATACACACACATGAATATATATATAGATGTTCATATATATTCATATTCATCAATATTCATATATATATATATTCATATGTATATATATTTGCTGCCCGCTGCCCTAGGCCTGCCAAGCTTGTACAGCCACAGGGGTGACACGGGGCCCCTTGGTGCCGCCTGCTCCCGTCCCCCCCAGCCCAAACCCAGCCCTAGGCCTGGCCCTGGGGGCTCCCAAGGCTTCCAGGGGACTTTTTGGTTTGTTCCTTTCGCTTTTTCTTTGGTTGGTTTTGTTTTGCTTCTGGCTGGAAACGCTACAGCCCTGGGGTGCCTCTTGTTTAAATGCCAGCCCAGGCTTGCTTGGGTGGTTGCAAATAGCTGGTCACAACATTTCCTGCAGCTCAGCCTGGCAAATTAACCCAGCTGTACCCAGCGGCTACTTAGAAACATTACACGTATATAGAATAGAAAACTTATATAATATATATATATATCTTCCCCATCGTCACAACATTGGCATTATAAGTCACCCAACAGCAATAATGGCATTTGTCTCCATCCAAAAAAAAAACCAAAAAAATCCAAATATTCCTAAGAATATTCCAGGAATATTCCAAGAATATTCCCAGGCTCCCGGGAGGTTTTGGGCACAGGTGGGAAGAGCCGGCGCAGCCGCTCGCTGCCGCCTTGCCTGGTGCCATCCAGAAATACCCGCGCCTGCCGCCGGCCCCGGCTGACCCTGCGGCCCGCGGCGCCCCGGCCTCCAACCTCCCGCTCCTTCCCCACTCCTCCTAACTTCATCTTAAACATTTCTTTTTAATCCTTCAACTATTTTTTCCACGGGCAAAAGTTCTAGGTATCTTTCACATGTTAAAAATAGCATTAATAGGAAAGAGTAGTATTAATAATAGTGTAATAAAGGCCCCCGGGAGCCGTTCTTGGCCCCCCGCTGCCCCGCGCCCTCTGCTCCCCCCGCAGCTCCCTGCGGCCGCCCCGGAGCGCTCCGCTCGCAGCCATGACCAAGGAGGAGGAGCTGCCCGACTGGACCTCGTCCAAGGAATTCTATGAGAAGTATGAGCCGAAGGAGGTGCTGGGCAGGTAACGCGTGGTTTCTGCGAGCCCTTTCACGCGCCTCGGTGCCCGCTCGGAAAAGCATCCGATGGGAGTCGGATCAGAGCTGGAGTGGCCCAGCGGTCCCAAATGGGGCTAGGGAGCATCTCGTGCCACTCGAGAGCTCCCTGTGCCCGGGAGAGCGCAGCCCAGCGAGACACACGAGCTCCCCTGCAGCTCCAGCACCCAAATGCCATGAAATCTTGTGGAAATATAAGGGGGCAATACAGGAACAGCAGTGGCAATGGCGAGACCACACAGCACATCATCCCACTGCAACGAGATGTTAAAAAGCCTGTAAAACAGGCAAATTCGGAACGCAAACCCCATCCCTTCCGCACTGGTCCCGCAGGGGGGTGAGCAGCGTCGTCCGCCGCTGCATCCACAAGGTCACGCGGCAGGAATACGCCGTGAAGATCATCGACATCACGGCTGGCAACATCTCGCCCAAGGAGGTGCAGGAGCTGCGGGAAGCCACCTCCAAGGAGATCGACATCCTCCGCAAGGTCTCGGGCCACCCCAACGTCAGTAAGTCGGGCCCCCGGGCGGCCTTTGCTGCTGGGGGGGCCCATGGAGGGCTCAGGGAAAGCCCTGCCTTGCTCCTCTCCCTGCTGCTCCCGGTGGGTGGTGAAAGTTTGGAAAGTGGAGTGGGAATCTAGAAGGAAGCCCCCAAGCTTGGAGCTGGAGCTGGGATTGGAGCAGCTCTGGCCGCACCACCTCCCCTGAACCCAAAACTGCAGCACCTTTGAGCCCAGGGTTGCATACGGGCATCACGGTGCCACGGATCGTCTCCTCATGAGGCCCTCGCTCGTCTCCTCCCCATCTCCCAGCCCTCTGCTAACGAAACCCCAACCCAGCGAGGGGTCAGAGTGCAGCACTTTGCCCAGGCCGGGGCCGGGACGGGCACGGAGCGGGCGCTGGGGCCGGGGCGCCCGGCACGCCGCCGCCCCGCGCTCACCGCCGCGCTCTCTCTTGCAGTCCAGCTGAAGGACAGCTACGAGTCCAGCACCTTCTTCTTCCTCGTGTTCGACCTGTGAGTCCCACATGCAGCGGGCGGCCGGCGTAAAGCGCGGCTGGGAACGGCCTCGGGTGCCCTGCGCCGACCGCAGCCTCCCGGCACTGCGCCCGCTGCCCAGACACCGCTCAGGTTTCCCCTAACCTTTGGCAGGGCCATTACAGAGCCCCGGGCTATTTATATTTCCTCTGGCAGCACCCACCCGGCCTCAGGCCCTGTTTGCATTTTATACCGTTTTTATAGGGATTTTTTTGCCCCCGTATGGGCTGGGGGCAGCTTGCCTGATGGTGGTGCAGCTGCCCCCTTTGCTTTGCCCGTGCAGGATGAAGAGAGGGGAGCTCTTTGACTACCTCACGGAGAAGGTCACGCTGAGCGAGAAGGAGACCAGGTAAGTGGGGCCGGCGGCAGCCGGGGCCGTGGGGCCGCGCGGCGGCCTGGGACACGCTGGCCCCATCCGCAGGAAGATCATGCGGGCGCTGCTGGAGGTCATCGAGTACCTGCACTCCATCGACATCGTGCACCGCGACCTGAAGCCGGAGAACATCCTGCTGGATGACGACATGAACATCAAGCTGACGGACTTCGGCTTCTCCTGCCAGCTGCGCTCCGACGAGAAGCTCAAAGGTGGGAGGGCAGCGGCCGCTCGCACGTGCCCGAGTTGCCCATGGCCACGAGGGGACCCATCAGTGCTCCTTATAACCCTTTGAGAAATTAATTAATGAGGTGCGTTGAGTTGCTGCCAGCGCCCCGCCTGGTGCTGCTCGTGTTTGCTCACGCGCGCGCCCGTCTGCACAGAGATCTGCGGCACGCCGGGCTACCTGGCGCCCGAGATCCTGCAGTGCTCCATGGACGACGAGCACCAGGGGTACGGCAAGGAGGTGGACATGTAAGTGAGACGCAGCCCCGCGCCCGTGGCCCTTGCCGGCCTCCTGTCCCGCTGCTCCATCCCAGTGGATCGCGGTTCTAGGCACAGGGAGGGTGAAGTGCAGCCTGGACCATGCGAGTCCCACCAGTTCACACAGCTTCTCCCAGCCCTGGGAAAACCAGGAAAAAAACACCCCAAAACTCCCAAGGAAGTTAAATAAGCCAAGTACCTCCGGCTTGTAGCTCCGCACCACCAGCTTGGCTCCGAATCTCCCGTCTCTCCCCCAAAGCAGGCGGCTCCGCTGCTCCCCATCAG